TGCTGAGGGACAACCAGGCTATCAAGAGCCACTGGAAAAAATCAAAGGGGGAAACTGACCACATACAGGGAGGATCCAGAGTCACAGAGGGGAGGCAATGGGAGGAAGAAAGGCAAAATCAGTGTTTATCCATGGGCTTCACGAGAGAGAGGAAAGGACACACACTGAAAGGCAGCAGGAAGAAAGAAAGGAGATTAGAAAATCATCAAGGAAATAGGGGAAGAGATGGACGAGATTGTAAATTTTCAGAGAATAGGGGGGTACTCGAAGGGGAGAAACCGACCAATCAAGCTGATTTTCAGGACGGAAACAGTGGCGGAACAGGATCCTCCAAGAGAAACCACGATTGAAATACTTGGAAGAGTACAAGAGGTGTTCCTAGACAGAGACAGAACAAAATCAGAACGAACAGCAGCTGAGTAAGAGGACAAAAAAACGAAAGGAGCTAGGAAAAGAGACAAGGAGGAACCAGCAGAGGTCAGTCAGAGCAGAACAGAACAGCAAGGCAAGCCACACAACAACTATTCTCAGAACCATACAACCTATTACACCATCCCAACACACACTACAATCCATACCCACAGCCTCCACCCAACACCGAGCTAAAGAATCCCACAGTAAAGCCACCAGGTCTCCCACCCTCACAGGCCCCCCAAACCACAGTGTTTGGAAAGGAAACTGAAGGTATGGTACACAAACGCTGATGGAATAACAAATAAGTGGGAGGAGTGGCATGAAAGAGTCAAAGAAGCATCACCGGACATCATAGCTCTCAAGAAACCAAGCTTACATGTATGATAACAGATGCCATCTTTCCAACGGGATACCAAATCCTGAGGAAGACAGAGGGAACAGGGGGGTGGAGGAGTGGCGTTGCTGAACAAAAATCGCTGGAATTTTTGACGAGCTGGGAGAGGAGACAGCGGAGAAGAAAGGGGATTACATAGCGGAACACTTCACTCTGGAGGTCCGGAGGTGGTAATAGCAGTGATGAATAGCCCCCCACAGAACAGCAGGGGGCCAAGGCAAGAGTACGACGAGAGCAATAGAGCGATGGTTGACACACTGGCTAGAGTGGCCAGAAGAGCTCATGCATGCAGGGCAAAGCTCCTGAAACATGGGTGACTTTAACCACAAGGAAATCGATTGGGAGAACTTGGACCCACATGGGGCCAAGATACATGGAGGGCTAAGATGATGGAGGTGGTACTGGAAAACTTCATGTGCCAACACGTAAGGGACACTACAAGAGAGGGAGGGTGAACCAGCAAGGCTGGACTTAGTATTCACCTTGAGTAGTGCAGATATCGAGGACATCACATATGAAAGACCCTTGATGCCAGTGACCATGTGGGTTTTTAAACTTCGAATACACAGTAGAGCTACAAGTGGAGAGAGAAGCAGGAAGGCCAGGACGAATGAAGCCAAACTACAAGAAAGGGACTACACAGGAATGAGGGAACTACCTGAACGGGGTTCAGTGGGACAGAGAACTGGCAGGGAAGCCAGTTAACGAGATGATAGAATATGTAGCAACAAAATGCAAGGAGGCTGAGGAGAGGTTTGTACCCAAGGGTAACAGGAATAATGAAAAAGCCAGGATGAGCCCATGGTTTACCCAAAGGTGCAGGGAGGCAAAAACCAAGTGTGCTAGGGAATGGAAGAAATATAGAAGGCAAAGGACCCAGGAGAATAAGGATAACAGTCGTAGAGCCAGAAACGAATATGCACAGATAAGAAGGGAGGCCCAAAGACAATATGAAAATGACAGCAGCGAAAGCCAAATCTGACCCGAAACTGTTGTACAGCCACATCAGGAGGAAAACAACAGTCAAGGACCAGGTAATCAGGCTAAGGAAGGAAGGAGAGACAACAAGAAATGACCGTGAAGTATGTGAAGAACTCAACAAGAGATTCAAAGAAGTGTTCACAGAGGAGACAGAAGGGACTCCAGAAAGACGGAGAGGTGGGGCACACCACCAAGTGCTGGACACAGTGCACACAACCGAGGAAGAAGTGAAGAGGCTTCTGAGTGAGCTAGATACCTCAAAGGCAATGGGGCCAGATAACATCTCCCCATGAGTATTGAGAGAGGGAGCAGAGGCGCTATGTGTACCCCTAACAACAATATTCAATACATCTATCGAAACAGGGAGATTCCCTGAGGCATGGAAGACAGCAAATGTAGTCCCAATCTTTAAAAAAGGAGACAGACATGAAGCATTAAACTACAGACCAGTGTCACTGACATGTATAGTATGCAAAATCATGGAGAAGATTATCAGGAGAAGAGTGGTGGAACACCTAGAAAGGAACGATCTCATCAACAGCAGCCAACATGGTTTCAGGGATGGGAAATCCTGTGTCACAAACCTACTGGAGTTCTATGACATGGTGACAGCAGTAAGACAAGAGAGAGAGGGGTGGGTGGATTGCATTTTCTTGGACTGCAAGAAGGCGTTTGACACAGTTCCACACAAGAGATTGGTGCAAAAACTGAAGGACCAAGCAGGGATAACGGGGAAGGCACTACAATGGATCAGGGAATACTTGTCAGGAAGACAGCAGCGAGTCATGGTACGTGGCGAGGTGTCAGAGTGGGCACCTGTGACCAGCGGCGTCCCGCAGGGGTCAGTCCTAGGACCAGTGCTGTTTCTGGTATTTGTGAACGACATGACGGAAGGAATAGACTCTGAGGTGTCCCTGTTTGCAGATGACGTGAAGTTGATGAGAAGAATTCACTCGATCGAAGACCAGGCAGAACTACAAAGGGATCTGGACAGGCTGCAGACCTGGTCCAGCAATTGGCTCCTGGAGTTCAATCCCACCAAGTGCAAAGTCATGAAGATTGGGGACGGGCAAAGAAGGCCGCAGACGGAGTACAGTCTAGGGGGTCAGAGACTACAAACCTCACTCAAGGAAAAGATCTTGGGGCGAGTATAACACCAGGCACATCTCCTGAAGCGCACATCAACCAAATAACTGCTGCAGCATATGGGCGCCTAGCAAACCTCAGAACAGCATTCCGACATCTTAATAAGGAATCATTCAGGACCCTGTACACCGTGTACGTTAGGCCCATATTGGAGTATGCGGCACCAGTTTGGAACCCACACCTAGCCAAGCACGTGAAGAAACTAGAGAAAGTGCTAAGGTTTGCAACAAGACTAGTCCCAGAGCTAAGAGGTATGTCCTACGAGGAGAGGTTAAGGGAAATCAACCTGACGACTCTGGGGGACAGGAGAGATAGGGGGGACATGATAACGACATACAAAATACTGAGAGGAATTGACAAGGTGGACAAAGACAGGATGTTCCAGAGATTGGATACAGTAACAAGGGGACACAGTTGGAAGCTGAAGACACAGATGAATCACATGGATGTTGGGAAGTTTTTCTTAAAGCCACAGAGTAGTCAGTAAGTGGAATATTTTTGGGAAGCGATGTAGTGGTGGCAGGATCCATACATAGCTTTAAGCAGAGGTATGATAAATTTTCACGCTCAGGGAGAGTGACCTAGTAGCGATCAGTGAAGAGGCGGGGCCAGGAGCTCGTACTCGACCCCCGCAACCTCAACTAGGTGAGTAGAACTAGGTGAGTACACACATACACACACACACACACACACACAAACACACACACAAACACACACACAACCACACACACAAACCACACACACACAAAACACACACAAACACATACACACAAACACACACACACACAAACACACACACAAACACACACACAACACATACACACATAACAACACATACACACACACACACCCCAAACACAACAAAACACACATACACACACACATACACACACATACACACACACACAAACACACACAAACACACATACACACACATACACACATACACACACATACACACACACACACACACACACACACACACACACACACAAAAACACCCCAAAATACACAAACACACACATACACACACAACACACACATACACACCACACACACACACAAAACACTCACACACACACACACACTCCACACAAACACACACACACACACACACAAACACCACACTCACACACACACACACTCACACACACACACTCACACACAAACACCCCACACACACACACAAACACACACACACACACACACACTCCACCACAAACACACACACACACACACACACACACACACACACACACACTCACACACACTCACACACACACACACTCACACACACACACTCACACACACAAACACACACACACACGTACAGTAAATTATCCAACGTGTTCACTGCAGAAAAATGTTTGCATCTCAAATAATTTTTTAATCAAAATGTAAATAAATACAGTGGTATTATTTTGAGTAACGTGCGCATGGTGGCGCAAGACAAGTCTAGGGGGGCGCGCAGCCCCCCGTGGGTCGCGCAGCCCCCCGTGGATCGCGCTGTCCCTCGTGGGTCGCGCAGTCCCTCGTGGGTCGCGCTGTCCCTCGTGCGTCGCGCAGCCCCCCGTGGGTCGCACTCTTCTCTTTATTACAACTTTTGGCGCTGTACAACGTTAGTTTTTTATAACGAGTCAAAGACCCATTCTACAACACTGGCTGCAAATTAGTTCTTTTTTAGGTTAGGTTAATTTAGGTTAGGTTAGATAATGTTAGGTTAATTTAGGTTAGGATAGGTTAGGCTAGATTAGGGTTAGGTTAATTTAGACTAGGACAGGTTTTGTTATGTTAGGTTAGGTTAATTTAGGTTAGGTTAGGATAGGTTAGGTTAAGTTAGGATAGGTTAGGTTATGATATTTTAAGTTAGGATAGATTAGGATGGGATAGACTGTGATAGGTTCGGATGTTTTAGGTTAGGTACGGTAGGTTAGGATAGGTTATGTTAATTTAGGTAAGGAAAGGTTAGGTTATGTTAATTTAGGTTAGGTTATGTATTATGAACAGGTAATAAATGGCCTGTGAGACCTGGTCGTAATGGGAATTGGAGGAAACAATCTCAGCAGTAGATTATAACGTATATTTGCCTTCATCCACTAAATACAGGTATGTACTATATGTACAGATAGAATAATAATAAGTGTACATCACTGTGACAGATGGCAAAGTAGAACCCAGAGAGAGAGCACTGTACTCAACCAGCAGGTAGGCAAGTCTGCCAATGCTTACTGCAAGTGAACCACATTGCTTCAGCTTTGGTGGGCTTCCCTGTGATTGGTCAATGAACCAAGGTACTGATTGAACGACAGGTGCCCTATCGATCGTTAAACCCTTAGCACCCGGTTTGCTGGTTAGGAGGCAGCCTATATGGGAGTGTGACATACGCCGAATAAATTAGAACATACTCTTAGCATGCCACATTATAATAGGTTAGGTTAGGTTACGATACGTTAGGTTAGGACAGGATAGGTTAGAATAGGTTATGCTATGTTGATTTAGGTTAGGATAAGTTAGGAGAGGTTAGGTTAGGATAGATTAGGATAGGTTAGGCTAGGTTAGGATAGGTTAGGATAGTTTAGGTTATGATAGGCTTGGCTAGGTTAGGACAGGTTAGGTTAGGTAAAAAATAGTTAATTGCCTAAATGAAATTCTTGTAACAATTGAGTTATAATTTATTGCTTAAAATGTCCAGTATTTAGTGTACTTTACCATGGGCAGTACGGAATCCATTTAATCCAACCTAAAATAACCTAACTTAACAAATCTTAACCTAACCTATTTTAACCTAACCTAATCTAACCTAAACTTATTTTGCCTAACCTAACCCAACCCAGCCTAAACAATAAAAAGGCACATTACTCTGACTGGAACAATCCACAAATAATCCAGACATAGGAGAGAGAGAGAGAGCGGTCCGACCGTTGTGCTGATTATTAACGTACCAACCCAACTTAACCTAATCTTACTTAACCTTACCAAACCTGAGGTATGACTGTATGACTCAGCCGGTCCAGTATGTGTATCAAGTACATATTTACTGTCAATGATTTATAAAAAACAAAAGATGTGCTTCATTGGCATTGTCTGGCCACATGTGATGGCATTAAGCAAGTCGTAACCACAGCGGTCGGTTCACTCTCTGAGATGGTTTACACATTTGGCTGAGGCTGTCAGGAGTGTGTGAAGGAACTACGTCAGTGAAGCATGGGATGCTGCTCTTAGTTGCTAGGAGGCAATGTATCACTGTCAACTTCATTCTTGACATCATCTCTCATCATCAGTGCTGACTTGTCTGTACTTTTCTCAAGTTTTGGCTGACATCATAATCTGCACTTCTTCTTTGAGTCTAGTTATATACTTATCCATGCTCACACACGAGGAGTTTGCTCCCTGTCATCCAGAAAAAAATGTGATGTGCTCCTCTGAAATCAATATATATATAAACTCTATGAAGAGGTCTGACTAAACTATTTTTTGCGCTTAAAAATCATAAGAACACTAAAGTTTTATCATCTATATATAATTTATAATCTATATAATATATATATCTCTGGCTGAAGGAGACTCGAACCTACGAACCTTGGAACAAGGTACGCAGTGCTTTACCAATCTACCCACACTGGATCAATACCTTGGAGTCCAGCTTGCGCTAGACTTTGATCCAAGGCAGCCAGCTTTCAGGGAGAAGGCTTACAGCTTTTCTTCTCATCCCCTGCATGCATCAGCCTTACTAGAGATATTAACAATGCAAGGAATTCGCAAGAGTAGGCGAAATATGCACAAACACTGATCTCTGGCTGAAGGAGACTCGAACCTACGAACCTTGGAACAAGGTACGCAGTGCTTTATTGGTCCAGTGTGGGTAGATTGGTAAAGCACTGCGCACCTTGTTCCAAGGTTCGTAGGTTCGAGTCTCCTTCAGCCAGAGATCAGTGTTTATATATATATATATATATATATATATATATATATATATATATATATATATATATATATATATATATATATATATATATATATATGTTATATTCTATTGTTACATAAAAAGAAATATAGTCAAAGAAATTTAACTTTATTTTACTTTTAATGTTAATTAAAAAGTCTTACTTTAATTAGAGAAATGTATGCTTCAACAGACCATAAAATGTGAATATTTATATCTAAAAATAAATAATGTGAGCTTCAAAAATGTTAAAGTGAGACTTCCATCAGTGTTCTCCAACCCAGGCAAGAAAATCCACCAGATCCACATAATAAAATAGCACGTACAATAAGCGTGATAAAGATAAATTATCATGTACTGAATTAAGCAGCCCCTTTAGAAATATTATGCCGTAATATATTGACACAAAACCTGCAGGTAAACTGGTACCTGAGAACTTTTGCTGCCTCAGGTGGTGGCAATATCTGTTCTTGACCATGAACCACCTATACAGTAACACATCTGACACGTCGAATTACAACAGATTGTCAGTGGTACAATACTTGTATAATATGTACCTATGATATAACTATGTATCACCACAATCTGGGCTACCCCAACCCTCTCCCTCATCCACACGACTCTGCTTGGCTGGTAGATCTAGGGGAGTGTAAATAGGAAGCGCGTCTGTCATGCGTTCAGCAGACGGAGGATCAAGCCTCCACCACGTCTTGTTAGGAATGACCCACATTGGTTTGGAGATTAGTGTGAATTATAAAATTATTATTAATCTGCCTGACGCTTCTTCTTGTTTAAGTCTCCCTTCCATTTCTGAATTAAATTTATTGTGTTTGAAGCTAATATACAATAGGTGGTCTTTATGACTGAAGTTCACTTGTAAACTAAAATCAAGAACATTTTAATTCAGAACAGAAGGGTCATTAATTGTTTTCTGAGGCCCATTTAAAGACTCGGCTAATGTCCGCTTGGAGATTTGCAGTGTCCTCAGTGGATGACACTGTCATGCAAATTCTGACATCGCCAGTGAAGGAGGACACGGTGCTGTGGCTTACATCCAAGTCTACAGTTTACTTGTAAACTAAAAAGCGAACATTGTAATTCAGGACAGTATAGTCTAATCAACTGCCTCCAGTACGTTGCATGCAACCTGGAGTTAGAATTAAGATGTGCCTCAGTGAGTACTCTCCACAGTTCTCCAGAATACTTTAATCTGTTAATAATAATATTCTCTTTGACTTGATCATTTTTAACTAATAACTACCACTAGGTTTATAACTGCCCAATTTTGTATTATTAAAGATGATTAAATTGTTTTATTAAAACTTTTTATTAATGCTAAAAAATTCTCAAATTTCTGGTCATGTAACCTACAGAAAATCCTCAGACGTCTCAGCTTTAGTCCCTGACATATGGATTAAAATAAGCTCTCAGTATGCACGCGCTGAGCAGTGCTTAACAGTGTGCAAATCAGCGAAATTATTTACAAACATTATGTCTCAGTTCACAAAAGGATTCTATCCTACACACTCTGCATGAAAGTACTGAGTACTTCGATACAGAGTGTGTAGGTTCGAATCCTGCTGTGGACTGAGAGACAATGTTTGTATACTCTAAGAAATATACCCTCGGAGCATATACCCTGCTCATATGAAACACTGGTATAATCCAGTGTGTCCACTACACGTTTATGTCTTGTCAATACATCTTCTCTCCTCAGTGACTTCTCATGATCGTTAATTATCATTTCTTCTTAGGTGGCTTCTGAAGTAGAATTATCGCTCTGTTTTTGCTTTAGTTTCTATCTTCTTATCTAATTCTACTTCACGTTTCTCAGGAAAAAAAAAATAAATCCTAGTTCTTCTGGTTATTTCCATTTTCTCCGCCCCGGGTTAGCTTCGCACTTTTCCAAGCTCTATTGTTCATGAGTTTCACGTCCTTGTATTGTTGGTTAGAGGTCCGGGGTCTCTCTCTCTTATCTATTTCCCTCCGGGGGGAAGGGGGTACGAAACTTTCTTTTGCATATTTGCATTTTAGTTTGAACAATTTTATCATTTCGCAGATGGTGTGTGTGTGTGTAGCCGCTGAGTGTCGTGTGTCTGGGGGTCGAGTCTCGGCCTCTGGATGCTTCTCTCAGCCTATAATTGTCCTGGATCGAGTCTCAGCTCCTGGAATCGTATTTTCGCTGGTAGCTACTGAGTTCACTCTCTCTTGGCTTCGAAAGCCTTATGGTACCTCTTCTTAAGGCTGAAAAAAAGTCATAAACCTGAGAGAGGAAGGAGATCCAGAGGTAGCATCAACATATGTGGAAGCTCAGCCTCTGGAGAAGTTCCGTGCACACCTCCACTCAGACCTGCCTCTAAAGCCCAGGCTCACATTCCCACTCAAATACAATAACCAAAAAGAAGTCATACTCCACTCCCCTTCCTACACTCACAGTGCAAGAATCTTTCACACAGCTTCTCACCCACAATGTCCAATCCGTATATTCCCCTACAACCTATATACCTGCATCCACGACTAAACACATCCTCAACAACTGCCAGACACTGCATCATCATGGGATCTTGATACAAAGAATTCTTCAAAACTTGTCCAACCTTTGGACGAGGACCTTCGACTAGTGGATGGTACCACTATGACCCCGCCTCCTCCTGCTTCCCCTCACCTGACTACATTTTACAAAATTGATGGACTGACCACATCGACTCAAGGTTGAGGGACTGATTACCTCATTCTCCTCCTATTGTTCATGCTTCTCCTGTGTATGGACTGATGAAGCCACTGTGTGGCGAAACGTTTCCTTAATAAAGATACCCAAGAGTTGCACATGTGTTGAATTTGTCAGAGTGCAAACATCCCCTGACATTGTAGCACACAAGAATTATAGCACACACAAACATTATAGTACACAGATACGGTTTCTCCTAGTTGGATATCAGATTATGAGGAAGGACAGAGAGAACATAGGTGGAGGTGTAGTGCTGCTTTTTAGAAGCCAGTGGAATTCTGAGGAAGTGAGGAGAATAAACAAAAATGGAGCAAATGAATATACAGGAGTTCCAAGGTGGTGATAACAGTGACATACATCCTTGCACTAAACAGCAGGAGACCAAGACAAGAAAAATAATGACAGGAAGAGAGTGGTAACGGACACAGTATCAGAGGTGGCCAGAAAAACCCACATGAGTAATGCAAAGCTACTGATAATGGAAGACTTCAACTACAAGGAAACGGGAGCCAAACAAGAGACCAGAAACGTAGAGAGGTAATCACCAACATATCAGGGACACACCCAGAGAGAGAGATGAGAAAAATGAGCCAGCAAAGGTTAGGCTTTGTATTGACCTTGAGCTATTCTAACATAGGGATATTGATTATTGATATATATTACCATGCAATCTTGAGTGTTTAATAACTTTAACAAACGAATATTTGAGGCTAATTAGAGAGGCCCAATGACTTTTGTGAATGATATAGCATCAAAAGCGAAATACGATCTAAGGTTGCTATACAGCTGCATCAGGAGGGTGTGAACAGTAAAGACGGCATGGCTGAACAAAGGAAGGAGGAGAGCTCAGTAGAAATAAATAGGAAGTATGTGAGGAATTTAGCAAGAAATTTAAGAAGATAGTCTTGGGGGGAAACAGGGAAGATAGTAGAGAGTCAAAGATGTAGAGTGCACTAGCAAGTGTAGGACACAGTACAATTGACAGAAGATGTGAGAAAATTATGGTGCGAGCTAAATACCTTGAAGGCAATGGAACCAGATACTATCTCCTCCATGAATGGTCCTGAGAGAGTGCAGTAACAATGTGTGTGAACCACTAGCCACAGTTCTCAACAAGTCAAGAGAAACAGGCCAACTGCCAGAGGTTCTGAAAACAACAAATGTAGTCTCAGTATTTAAAAAAGGGATAGACAGGCAACATTAAACTACAGACTGGTGTTAGCGACATGCTTAACATTATCAGGAGCTGAGAGGTGGATCACCTATAATACAATGCGTTCATAAACAACAACTTGCAAGTTTAAGAAATTGTAAATTCTCACACACTAGAGTTCTAAGACAAGGTAACAGAAGTAAGGCAAGAGAAAGAGAGAGCGGGATCGCTAGACTGCATACTTTTTTGAACAGAAATAAGGTTTAGACACAGTACTGCACAACAAGCTGGGACGAAAGTTAGAGGAACAAGCAAGAATAGCAAAGGACTGCAGTTGATTAAGAAATTCTTAACATGAGGGAAACAAAGAGTGATTGTTCTGGGAGAGACGCAGATGTGAAATTAATGAGAAGAACACAGATGAGGAACAGAACCTGGACAGAATGCAAGTCTGGCCTGACAAGAGGCTACTAGAATTAACCAGGGCAAGTGTAAAGTATCGCTAATTATGATGGGCAAAGAAGACTGCAAACGGAGTACAGGATCTGGATCAAAGGCTGCAATGTCACTTAAAGAGAAGTACCTCGAGGTGAATATTGTACAGACTATATCGCCTGAGGTACATACAAACCTAATTACTGCTGCAGTAAATGCTGTGGCAAATGTAAGATAATTTTTCAGGAACCTAAGCAAGGAGTCGTTCACGACACTATATGACATACGTCAGGCGCATATTGGAGTATGCAGCACTAGTATAGAATCTCCACTTGATCACGCATGTCAAAAAACAGAAGAAAGTGCTGAGGTTAGCAACGAGACTAGTCCCGGAGCTAAGGAGTATGTCCTGTGAACAGAGGTTAAGGGAACTAAACCTAATTGCATTAGAGGATAGAAGGACAGAGGGCCATATAATAATAGCGTATAAAATACTAAGAGGAGCTTATAGAGTGGAGAGGCACAGATTATGCGAGTGGCCAGAGACAAGAACACTGGGGTCCAGCTGGAAGTTAAGACAGATGTGTCACAGGGCTGTTAGAAAGTATTTCCTCAACCTTAGAATAATTAGGAAGAGGACTAACCTGCACCCTGGAGTGATAGAGGTAATATCCATACACAACTTTAACTGGTTTCTGTTTCATAATCTTACATTGTAATGACTGATGCGATCTCCTATTCCTCCACCATTCATATTTTATCACGAGTCCTCCTTCAGCCTCCTGAAGCCCACGGATAATCAGCGACCTCCCACTCTCTTCTTTCCACCTCCATTGGTTCTAGATTTCTGTGTCTGATCTAAACAGTTCCTTTGCTGCTACTTTTATCAACTCCTGCACGTTCAGGTTGCCTGACAATGTTTCCTCCATCTCCACACATTTTATTTAACTCTTCTTCCATTTTGTATCTAAACCCAGCTAACATCAATTCTTTATCTGTCTACTCATGTCCTGATTCTTCCTCCTCAGCTCCCCTTCCTCTTCTTGATGACTTTTGAATTCGCATTTCTCCGCTCTTCAAGTTTTGCCTAAATACAATGACTTCCTCAGACAATAGCTTATTCAGTGGAACAAACATACAGTTCCTGCCCTTGCTTATATGTATAAACAGTTCTGTATAGATCACCGAGGATGGTGTGTATGTATACTTACCGTCTCTTCGCTGCTCACTACTAGGCCCACTCGCTCCTTACTCCATGAGCTTTATCGTACCTCTTCTTAAAGCTGTGTATGGATCCTGCCTCCACTACATCACTCTCCAGACTGATCACTTCTTGACAACATCCTTCCGACTCATCTGAGATTTCAGCTTCCAGTTGTGACCACTTGCTGCTGTGTTCCTCTCAGTATTTTATATGTTGTTATCATGTTCCCCCTTATCCCTCCTGTCCTCCAGTGTCGTCAGGTCGATTTGCCTTAACCTCTCCTCGTAGGACACATCCCTTAGCTCCGTGTGTATGTGTGAACTCACCTAATTATTCTCACCTAATTGTGATTGCAGGGGTCGAGACTCGGCTCCTGGCCCCGCTTCTTCAATGATCGCTACTAGGTCCTCTCTCTCCCTGCTCCATGAGCTTAATCATACCTCGCCTTAAAGCTCTGTATGTTTCATGCCTCCAGTACATCACTTGCTAGACTATTCCACTTCCTGGCAACTCTATAACTGAAGAAATACTTCCTAACATCCCTTTGTGTCATCTGAGTCTGCAACTTCCAATTGTGACCCTTTGTTTCTGTGTCCCCTCTCTGGAACATCCTGCCTCTGTCCACCTTATCTATTCCACGCAATATTTTGTATGTCGTTATCATGTGTGTGTGTGTGTGTGTGTGTGTGTGTACTCACCTAGTTGTACTCACCTAGTTGAGGTTGCGGGGGTCGAGTCCGAGCTCCTGGCCCCGCCTCTTCACTGATCGCTACTAGGTCACTCTCCCTGAGCCGTGAGCTTTATCATACCTCTGCTTAAAGCTATGTATGGATCCTGCCTCCACTACATCGCTTCCCAAACTATTCCACTTACTGACTACTCTGTGTGTGTGTGTGTGTGTGTGTACTCACCTATTTGTGGTTGCAAGGGCCGATCTTCAATTCCTGGCCCCTGTGTGTGTGCGTGCGTGTGTTCTTGTGAGCGTGTGTGTGTGTGTGTGTGTGTGTGTGTGTGTGTGTGTGTGTGTGTGTGTGTGTGTGTGTGTGTGTGTGTAGGCTTCCTATATATTCCACTGTTTAATTTGCTCTCAATATCCTCCTCCCTGACTCCTGTCTTCCCACTCTCTCAGTCATCTCTACTCTTGGACTGAGACAAGGAGCATTTCCTTCACTTCTCATGGAGACAGACAAGTTCGATTCCTTTTTTCCCTCCCTTCGCTCCCTTCTCTCCCCCAGTACTAAAATAAACTCACTGCTGTCCAGCCCCCTTCACCCCTGATAGAAGACAAGATTTTCCCCTCCCTCCCATTCCTCCTTCATCCCACTTTTCCTCCCTCTCTACTTCCTCGTGGTCTCTCCCTCATGTTGGTTCCTCCCTCAGTATAGAGTAAAGCCCCAGTGTCTGCTTTATACACATCGTTACTAGACACTAACAGCCAAACTACTTGGCTACACTGGTGTCTTAATGGCTGCTAGGACACCCACCACTGGCTCTTTCATAATTACCTCCGACCATCATGACTCGTTTGCTACCGGGGGTGCATCTGTGGCTTTTATGGGGTGGGGGGGCGGCGAAAGGAAAGGAGGAGGGGGAGGGACAGAGGAAAGAGGAGGAGAAAAAGGTGGGGAGGGGGGGGTTGATGCTATTAGGTAATGTGGAGACATGGGGCTGAGGCGACACTGGAGGAGAAAGGTAGACAGGTTATTTTGGGGCAGGTTTGTGTTATTAACGACAGAAGTAGGAGCGAGGTAGTTTGAGTGTAGGTATGATATATGTGTAGGTTCAGGGTCAAGGTTAGTTAGGTAGGTCAGGGCTAGTATAGTGTTTAGATCAGGTCTAGGTTATGCTAGGTAGATTCAGGGTCTAGGTTTTAGGTTGATCAGGGTCTAGGTTATGCAGGTTAGATTCAGGGTCTAGGTTAGGTTAGGTTAGATTCAGGGTCTAGGTTATGTTAGGTTCGGGGATGAGGTTATGTTAGGTGAGGTAGCAAATTTATTAGCAATGTCTCGCTCCCGTCCACTCTCACCATATTTTTAGTCGTGTTTTCTGATAAAATAATTTTTGGCCAGTAACCTTGACTGATAGATTTATACTGAGCATGTAGGTCCTCAGACCTCTGGCAACTCCTGCCCCACTAGGGAACAATGTATCTAGTTGAATTCTATTCTTGCAAAGTGCTTGTCCAGCTGGTTCTTGAATGACTGTATTGTCTTTGTGCTTACAACATCAGCCGGTTGTTTATTCCATTCTGCTGTAATTCTGTTTGCAAATAAAAAACCTTCAGACACTCGTGCTGCTACATCTGCCTCACATTTGCAGTCCATTGTTTCTCGGGTCACTTCAGTTTTTTTGTACTCCGTTACATTATTTATTTCCTCAATCTTTCCATAACAAAGTAACTGAAACTTGTCCTCACTGAACATTATGTTGCTGACAGCGGTCCACTGGAAGACTTTATGTCAGCTTGGAGGTTGCTGTGTTCTCAACGGACACACTTCTCATATAAATTCTAGTATCGTCTGCAAAGGATATAGGGTGCTATGATTTACGCCTCTGTCTATGTCGTATATTAAATATCCATGCCCACTTTTTCAGTTCCCATTGCACACATTGTATGCTATTACGCCATGATTGAACTTAACAAAGGCTTTAGCAAAGCCTTTGATAAGTCTTAACTGTCCAGTGGTTGCATGATCTAATAGTCTCAGAAGACTGGAGTGACCTACTCTAACTCATGCTGCCCTGGGTTATGCATTATTATAATAACAAAGAAGCACTAAACCACAAGGACTATACAGCACAGCAGGCAGGGAAGGATGCAGGGAAATGGTGGCAAGAGGGAGAGGGATGATTATTAAGGTATGGATTGCAGCTGGGCAGTGGATAGTGCTGGGGTAGAGGATAGCTAGAGATTAAGCTAGAAAGGACAGAGGAGAGTGCTAGAGGCATCATCATCAGAGTTTGTGTAGCAATTCAGTTGCTGTCAAAAAGTCAGTGAGAGAGTCTTGGGTTAAAGGAGGGTCCATCAGCCAGAAGGGAAGGTAAAGAAAGGGCAGCGGAGCGGAGACGACATTGGAGGTAAATTCTGCGTGCTCGTTGATAGAGTGGACAGTCCAACAGAATGTGGCTAACAGATACTGGAACTTGACAATTCTCACTGAGAGGAACAGGGCGCCTCTCCATGAGATACCCATGAATGAGACGAGTGTGGCCGATGCGAAGACAGGAGAGTTGTCTCTCAACGTCGACATTGATGACAAGAAGACAGCCAGAAACTTATACTCGGTTTAATAGAATGAAGTTTGTTATAGAGCAGATCAGACCAACGTTGTTGCCAACGGGTGCGAAGGTGGGTACCG